CCACGTAAGTCTTCAAAGAAGTTCTCCTCAAAGGTATGACATAGAAGTATCATTAGATTTAATTGTAGAGTTGTTTTTTCTTCTTTATAGATTCCATTTATTGAGGCAAACTCAAATAAGTTCGCATATACAGAAGTCCAACAGATAGACTACAACCGGGCTGTTTACGAAGTCGGGGGCTTTGTCTCGGATTCGTGTGGAAACAGAGCCAGTATATTCCTTGTAGAAAGACCCCGTCATGGACGTGAGTTTTACTCAATAATCCCTTCTTAAAAGTTAAAGAAAATGTGAAAATGTGGAGATGTGGCAGCTGGATTTGAATTTTAAACAAACATGCTATGATAACAAATATGTCAATTTTTTCGATATTAAAATCAAAACACAAAGGTTGTACTTATACTGGTAACTCTCTCTAAATCAAAGAATGGTAAATACGATTGATAGGGAACATACACAGAGTCATAAGAAGATAAAATTCACAGAAGTTTCCTGGTTATTTCTCACCTTGAAGTTTTCTTAATCAATTTTCACACACAAGATATATACATAAGATACGATGCTGGATAAAATATGCACATTGTAAATAGACTGTAAATTGAGCGTAAGCGTAAACCCTCTGTTTTGATGCAAAAGTATTCTAAATCAATAAAATGTAAAAACATTTCTAAATCCACCAAAAACCATTTTATTTTGAAACAGGAGCTGTAGGTGTTTATTTGATGGTAAACTATTGAATTGTTCTGGATGTCACTCAGTAAGGGGAGCGGGAAGGGCGCTTAACCAATACCTTGTTTTCTCGCAGCATGAACAAACATTCCTCAACACATTATCTACACAATTACATTAGTAAATAAATTTGAAATGGGAGATAAGTAGTAAGTACCTTTTTGAGATATTTGCTATTTTCAGGGTTAATACTTTGTTTTCTCGCAACATGACAAACATTCCTCAACACATTATCTACACAATTACAATAGAAAATAAATTTGAAATGGGAGATAGGAAATAAGTACCTTTTTGAGATATTTGTTATTTTCAGGGTTCAAGGCCGGCAGAAAGTTCATTCCTCCCACTGCCTGTTCATTCGGTCCTCCTCAGCAGCGTATGAACAACGGATTGTTGAAGTGTAGCATGGAAACTTGTCGTGGAAATTACAGTTGCAATACAAAATACAACATATGTTGCCAAAAAAGTAGGTCTTCAATAATAAAAGTTTTAGCATTTTTAAGACAGATGTTACAGGCTTTGCTGTTGTAAGATATATCTTTTATGTTCATTGTCCCCTGATTTCCTGAAAAATATCATTTGTCTGTCTGTCCGCTTGTGCAGTCTTTCTTTCACAAAAAACTTTAACATTGGACTTAACTTTTGAATGAGAAAAGGTATGGCTTTCATATTTAACATATGAATTACCTGTGATAAGAATGTACTATGATTTATAACCTCATGACCTTGACCTTGTAGTTTGCAACGTTTTAACCTTGATAATAACTTTCGTATGAGAGAAGACAGGTCTTTCATATTTCACATTACCTGTTCATGGATTACCTGTTACCAGAACATACAACGACTTTTTTTTCTCATAATTTTGACCTATACTATATACGGTAAAAGTATACTAAAAAAATCTGATTATTATGGGGGGCATGATAATCAGATTTGTTTGAGTGTCTCTTGAATTGTACACAATTGTATAGATGAAAGTATGACGTAACAAATTATAGAATTGATTAGAAACAAATGATTGACATTTTTTGTCTCTATGGCGTCAAAAGCTATTGGGATTTCCTTTTATTTTATAAAAAAGGGCAAAATGCACAAATTTTATTCAATTTGGATTATAGTAAATATAGACCGAATTTGCTCAGGTGCTATATTCACATATTTCCTTGATATTATCACTCTATATCATTCTTACATCAAGAAGATCAAAAGATCAAGTCTATGCAGACTGCGCGATGTTTTTCAATCAAAATTTTGACGTAATACTAGTTTCAAAATGATTGAAATTTAGAGTACACTTCGTTGTCATGACTTCATAATTTACGATGTCATGATAACAAAAAAATCTATCACTAGTTTACTCCTTTATACAGTGGATATAGCTCATATGATATCGTTTTCAGGAGTTGTGACGGCACGTTTTTCCCCTCCTTAAAATGAAGTGGATTCACATATAAAACCGTGTAAAACATAAGGCTATGTGTAAAACATGTAACAACTCTATTGTTTGAGTATAATTTTATCCAACTCATTGTGTGTTTTTTATCCCAAATCCTTGGTGAGGGGATAAAACACACAACTCGTTATATAAAAGTCATATCCAACCATAACCATGGGGGTTCCTACTTCCTATATTTATTGCATTGAAGCATGCAATTTTTCCCTGGTTTAGAATTTATTTAAAGATTTCTACATCAAAGATTAATTTGGGGAGCTGGTATTGGACATTACACGATAATATAGTTCTTTCAACCTTGGCTGTAGCTTCTGAATGAGGGGAGATAAGGCTATATTTCATATGTGCATCATTTACCTGTAACAAGACCTTTCTTAGGGTATTATGATTTTTGACTGCAAGGCATTATCCTTGAATTTTGACCTGCTTAAAAAAACCTTGACCTTAGCTTTTGCACCGAAAGAAACAGGTCTTCATGTGCATTACCTTTGACAAGACCTTTTTAAATATACTATGGCATCATGGGCTAGTCCGATCGAAGTTTAACTTTCAGAAACTTGAACCATCGCGGTAAGCCTCAGAATCCTCACATCAGAGGCCTCGAGACCACTAGTGGGCGTGGAACCCCTGACAAATTTCTTCCGGGTCAGCTTCTCTCATTGAGAAGCACCAATCAAAGTGGAGCTTTCATAAGTTTACATGAAATGTAAACAGAAAGGAAGCAGTTGACACCTCAAAAGACTTAATTTGATTGGCCGAGAGACAAGAAAACAATGTAATTTCCCGAAAGACGTCGCTGCGATCATCCTTAAAAAAATAATGAAGCTTGTCAGGGGTCCCTCGGCCACTGTTGGACTTGAGATCCCTGACGTTTTGTGGATGCACTATAAATTTGCACTAGAACATATAACATGTACTTCAAAAATATATAACTTTCTTATAGTATGATGGACAGACAAGGCATTTACAATATGCAATTTAATGTTGCACCCCAACCGATCAAATTGTTGAAATACGATTTGTACCTTTTCATATATCTCGATCACGTCGCCAGTGTGGCACAGAGGTAAGAGCATTTGTTCTAGGATCGCAGAGTAAGTTGATCCTTGCCTTGCGGTTTCGAATCCACCTTATGACGTGGAGGCCAGTCCTTCAGATGAGACCGTATAAACCGAGGTCCCGGAAGGTGCTGGCACAAAAAAAAACCTCTGCTTAAAAGGTGTAAGTGTCGCATGCAGGTCTTAATCTGCAGCCCTCCACTGGCAAGGACTGCAAATTTAATTTCTATATGAGTGAAAAATTCTCGAAGGGATGTAAAATAGCAAACAAACAAATATCTCGACCACAGGAGCTTATTTTTTATAAATCATTTTACTAGCATGTATACTGCAATGTGTTCAAAATAAAAAAAAAAAATATTAAGAATATTGAAAAATATTATTCTTAAAAATTCTTATGTTTGCAATACTATAACAAATCTTTTGGTACAAAAGTGATTTACACTTATCTTTCACAAAACTTGGAACTGGGAATTTTTGAAATTCTTTGAAATCGCTTCATCTACATTCAATAAAATCTGGTACACAAGTAAACGAAAATTAGATTTGTTTAATTATTATTAACGTGCTTTAAACATTCTTTCCAACGTATATTGTTCTATGAAAATTCTCGGCCGTAGCTCAGTCATGCCCAAGCCCCGGCCGCGACAGTCATAAGTCGATTAAAAAAAATAGGTAGTAACTGTTCCTTCGCCAAGCGCTCGGCACTTTGAAATGAAAGTTGCAAGTCTTTCGGATTAGACCTTAAAAAACCGAGTCCCGTGTTACAGTAGGTGTTATAACGATAAAGATCCCTTACTGCTCAATGGTCCGAAGTGCCGAGTAATGATCTAAATTTGATACCCTTCACCGGTATATGATGATGTCTTAATCTGAATGAAAAATTATTGCATGGGAAGTAAAACATCTTATGCGGTAGTAAGGTGTATGTCTGTCTGTAAACATTTTTTTTCAAAATACCATTCCTCCTACAGTTTTTCCAATTTAAATATAACTTGGAACACAAGTAGACTACATAATTCTGTGTATCGGTTTTTGATTTCAGTGAACGGTGTTGCCAAGGTTACTAAAAATAGAATTTTCTCTGAAATTCTTTCAAAAGCTACTTCTCCTACTGCAGTTTTAGTCGGATTTCAGTCTACCTTGGTACATACGTAGACTACAAAAAGATACATAATTCTATACATTGGTTTTGATTTCACTGAATGGTGTTGTCATGGTTACTAAAAATAGAATTTTCTCTGAAATTCTTTCAAAACGCTACTTCTCCTACTACAGTTTTTGTCCAATTGCAATTAAAATTGACTCAGAAAGAGACTAAACCAAGGATCATTATTTTATTTATTGCTGTTGTTGTAGTTCAAGTCCAAGTTCTACTTTTTTATTTAGTAAAAACCAGTAGAGCTACATTCTCGTCAGAGACTTCTGGTTTTAATATTCATATCTTACTTTTAAGTATGAAGAGATAAAATTGTCTTTTTTTCAGGGCCAAGCAATACAAGATGTCGGAAAATGTCTATTGGAAGGTTTTGTGTTATTCATGCGCCACAGTACGGTTATTACCCAGGATGAGAAATTTCGATTGAAATTACACGAGTACTATATCCATAAGCCGAGGCATGAAGCAGTCATTGACAACTGATAACGAGAAAAGTCCCCATGTAACCTGTCTTTGTATGCAGTGCTTGTTTTTTGGTGCCAAATTCTGAGAGAATTTCTTCAAATTTTTTTTAATGCTATTTGAAATAAAATTGTCCAACATATTTAAGATATTATAGACTTTTAATGATCAACTATTTCCTCTGATTTTTCTGTATTTTCAAATCTTGGTGAAAAGGGGATTTGTTCACTCTTAGAATTAAGATGCGATTTTGACAATTCTTATGAATTATTACAACATTCTCAACTACCAGGTATTACTTCCAATTTACAGGTCGGTATAACATTTTCAGGAATTCTTTGTTGTCAACTTTAGTTATTATTTTCACATTATTTGACCTCTTTAAAATCTTTGACCAGTCGACCACCATCATTCCATACGTGTATTCACCTTTGACCTCTACTGTTGCAAACACCTCTTTAGATTCTTTTACGATTGCCGATTCGTCAACTACCACTGCCATTGCGAATTCGTCACATGGTATGTATCGAGGCCATTCTATTTGATTAGTTCTTATTTTTTCAAAAGGTTTCTTTTCTATACGTTTCAGGAAATCGTTAATTTTTGAGGGCGTCTTCCGTAATGAATCATAATCCCCCTGAAACAAACAACACTTGTAATTCTCTTATTATTATATGAGCACATCAATAAAATTATATGTCTGTTTTATATCCATGGTAATCGTTACCCAGGCGACAGCGTTGTCATAGCAGACTTCCATGCCGACCACAGTGATAGGACCCCCTAGTTGTGTTAAGACAATTCTAGCAGCCTCGGGATCACAAGAGAAATTAAACTCACTACAAACTGTTGAATTCCCTCTGCCTGAAATATATGTACATTGTAATTCAATATCTTTGACAACAAAAGGGATGATCCATTCCAATGATATGAGTCAAAAACATCTTAAAAATAACAATACATGTATTTATTTTCATTGAATATATCAAGTGCATTGTATTTACATTGAACCTGGATAGATGTGTATAGGGTAACATTTCTACATTTTAATATATCGGATATGTTAGATAGTAACATGAAATTGGGCAAAATTTGCTACACAAGGTGATAAAACGCCAAGGACGAATGAAATATTTTTGTTCAACAAGTTGAATACCCCTCATTTGTATGTTATAAAAAATGCGGAAAAGAACTCAAACAACCTATTAACCGTGGAAATTGTAGATCGGAAGTAAGGAAGTGTAGCTTAACGAAAACTGTTTGGAGCATAGATCAAACAATGATGTCCTCCGTTCAACCATATAAATTTCTGTTCTATGATACGTTTGTTATACACATTATTACAATCATGACAATGGTCGTCTGCTCAACTTAATTCTGTCTTGCAATTCAATACCCGGAAATAGATTACACATCGTAATGAATGTTGGATTATTCACGATGTGGGATTTCCCCTAAGTTATGTTTTCGATTTAGTGCAAACAGGGAATGGCATGGATCGAAATGTTTCGACAGTCGTTTATAATTCATCTTTTAGCGCTGCTTACAGGTAAATATATTACTTTTATTCTGAGATATAAGTTCAGCATCATGATAGTTTATGAGTTTTTATAATGTTTCATCTCAGCAAGGTTTAATTTCTAAGAAATACTGTAAGGCGTGACCAGTGTTAAACGTTAGCAATCAAGCAAAAAATGGGTAAGAAGAATTGTTAAAATGTAATAAAACAAAGAGCATATAACTAGACTTCATCCTTCACTATCTTATTTTACAAGCGGCTGCGAGGTAATAAAAATCATGAGTTTCGTAATTTATAAAATCAATATCGCTATTTACTCAATTGCTTCCTGACTTCTGACTATATCCACTAGTGTTTTGTTCCATGGGTTGTATTTTGTTGCATACAGAGTATTGAAATACTAAGTACCAAAGATACTCTGATTAAAATCATGTGTATTTTTGTTTTTTAATACCATTTTTTGACATTCAGACAAAGGACACTGTCGAGCACCCGATCAGGACTGAGTGGTCTTTCCATGGTGGCGGCTGATTCTCGAGAAAAACGGTAGGTATTCGGTTTAGATGCTAAATTTTCCTAGTCGGTAGCTTGCTTAAGTCAAGTGTGCGTTAAAGTTACATGTAGTAGCCAAAATCTTTCTTGTGCATATCGTTGAATCCTTTCAAAATTGTAACTTTATTTAACTATAATTGAGACACATGTACATGTATTTGATGCTTGATTATAGTCTATTCCTAATCCTCAAACTGGAGCCGGGGCAAAGAATTCTTTCTGAGTTTGAGTCTGATCCTTAGTCAAAAAATGAGATAACTTGGAGACCGTACCTAAATTTTTTTTTCATAAATTATACCAAAAACACACAACCGCTCTAAAACAAAAACAATTTTTTTTTCTAAATTTTCATCACAATTTGGCACTGTATTGTTCACATCTACTTTAAAAAAGTTCTCAAAGTCTAGTCATTTGTAAATAAGAGTGAACGGCATCAGACTCAAAAATTGTGAAATAAGGGACTCTTTCTACTGCAAGTCACTCTTTATTTCATTGAAAGATAAATGTTTCAGTTATTGCCGGTCCGTGTAACGTAACATATTGGCAATTTTGATAGGATTCCACAATATGCACAAGTTAAGAAAGATTTTGGCCACTATTACTTCTAACTTTAACGCACACTAGCCTTAATCAAGGAACCGACTAGAAGACTTTAGCATCTAAACTGGATACCTACCATTTTTCTCTCGACTCTGCCGCCATCTTGGAAAGACCACTCCTGATCGGGTACACGGCACAGAAGGAAAAAGTGTTTATGCTTGTCGATCGCAAATGCTTTCATGTGAGTAACTTGTTACATCTTGTTCTTTTTATTATAAGGTTCTTGTCATGATAAAACATGGAAGCATATCAATACTGAGTGTTTTAAGGTTATGGACAATCCAGAATTTTATGACAAAGCATATTTGTCGTGTAAAGAGGCGGGAGGGGAACTCCTATCTTCCGGAAGTAGACACGTTCTTCTGGATCTCAATATCACGTCTATTACGTGGTTAGGAAATTTACAAGAAAACGACAACACATCTGATTTCATCAGCTATTATGATAGGAAAGAACAGGGAAACATAACATCAACAAGACAATGTCCCAGTATTGAAAGCAGCTCCTCAATTGTTACTTTCGATTGCAACAAAAGTTCAACGGTTGTGTGTCAAGCAGTGCAAGTCTCCTCGACTGAGAAGGACGGAAAAGGTCTGCACAGTCGCCATTATAAGTTTCTGAGACATTCCAGTAGCACATGATAAAAATTGCTTTAGGGGAGCGAGAAAAACTTAATTAAATTGCTTTATATGTTCTACTTTCAGGAATTCATTTGAAGTTGTTGGTAGCCATAATAATCTCTGGAGTCATCCTTCTCATTTTTCTTACACTTGTGATATACAGTGCGAAACATCGTCTGGATAATGAAGAAAGACAGAATTCAGAGACGGTGGTTTATGGCAAGTATACACACTTGCAACAAATTGAAGATGTGAAGCTTAATGTTATTAATGAACAGCCAGATTTTGTGCCCAACAAAACTATTTTAAGTCAAAAACCAAAACCATCAGCAACAACAAATGGAGAAGAAGTACGGGGAGTATCAGGAGAAGAGAGTGTTCGAATAAAGAACGGGAAATATGTACAGTTCTCAGTCCCCTCTGCAGGTTCAGAACAAATGTTGAATGACAGAAACTGCTGATTTATAAGATAAAAGCCTATTCCTGCAGTTGTTATAAATACATGTACCAGTTTTTCAATGACTACATGCCCATGAAAAAAATCCAGTCGGTTACTAGTATTTTTCACTGATTGACATTTGTTTCTTACTCTATATATTTTGTTTTATAATTTTTTGAAAAATTTTTATTTTTATATAACATCATTATGTTTTCTTTACAACCTTTATTTGGTAAAAATAATTAATGATTTTAAACTTACCATAATAATTACCGCCCATTATTACACATTGTTGTATTGTCTGGCCCAGGGAGGGATCCAGTCTTATAGCAGTGGCTACATTTGTAAGGGGTCCCAAACACACTAGTGTCAAACTGCCTGTAAAAAATAGCAAAAATTAACTAGCTTGCTCACTGTGCTGACTTAAGTCACAATATTCTGTATGAATCTGAAGTAGGTACCGGACTTCTTCAAAAATGCTAGCAGATGTTGAACTGATTTTTTTTTTGGTGTGTGAGTCTACATTGATGACTTGATTTTACGTTTGCATTCCGTTTATCAATGATTTTTGACAGAATTACGACCTTTGGACTTGGAGCGGAACCAGACTACACATAGTTACGGGTAGATTGATGTAATACTCCCAGAATGCTTGTTTCTTAATAGCCAATATTTAAAACCTGGAATCGCTTTGGGATTAGGAGAAATTAATTCAATCAAAATACAGATCAGTAATGTAGACAAAGAGAGTCATATATAGAATCAAAATGAGCAGAACGTCTTTTACCGAAATAAATTTGGACAGTAATAGAATTCAGAACAGGGTTCATGCCACACAAAAGCCTGATCGTTCAACAAGTTTCACCTTTTCATCCCATTCCCTAAATTCTTATTAGTCGAAAAGGTTTTCCAAATCTTACGTTCATAAAACGCTTGTGTAATGCATGATACAATGTATCTGAATGTAGTGTGGAGCTCCTCAGATTTTTCTTTAGGAAGTTGCGAGTATTTCTTAACAATCTTGTATACTAGTAGTCAACAGTAAGCAAATGATATATATTATATCATTTTAAAATTATTTTGGAATAAAGACTTTTTACCAATACTTAAAATATCACAATAATTGTGACTTTCACTGTATCGCGACCATTTGGGGGGGGGGGGGGGTGCAGTGTGCATGTGAAAAGAAATAATAGAAAATGTGTCACTGGAAATTATCAGTTTGACTAAAAGCGGAAGTGATAGGGACCAGAAACAAACTGTTCATCAAAGCTGCAATAATTTTCCTCGTGCAAAACACTAATAAAATGTGGGTATCCATACCTCTGTACTCGCGGCAGATTCGCACGATGGCGGCTGAGGCAGATTCCGGATTGATCAAAGATTCGTCTACTGGTTCGGGATCTGGCGAATCACCCAGCCCATCCCAGCCATGGTATGGTTCGTCATCATGGGGTCTCTCATTACCCAAAATACTTTTCTCGCTTCCAACATAGACTGGTATCTAATCATTAGTACGACAAAAGGTCCTTCAGATTACCACAGGTAAAGGGAGTAATAATGCATCTATATATTACCTGCAGAACTGTAGCTCTCTGGGACAAAAAAAAACTGGGACAAGCATACAAGAGACGCCTGAGAGTCTAGTTGTCCGAATTTACACACCCAGTGAGCTATAGTTCAGAACAAGCTTACAGATCATTGTCGATTTCCTCTGGTGGAAATTAAAATTTGATTCTGATTTACCTATGAGTAAGGTTAAATGTTAATCAGGATAAATATTCTTTACAAATAACTGACAAAAGAGCTACATATAACAGCATCACCTAAACAAAGTCAATTGTTGACACGGACAGACATGGACAATTTCTACAGAAAATTCTAATCAAACTGTCTGCAATATTGAAAGGGGTATTACTTACGTCTAATCTTTCTGCAACTCGGAGTATGCGCAGTACGTTGACAGCCACTTGCTTTGGAAGTACGTTCCCTTGGACAATGGTAATAGCAACGACATTTACTTCTGGTGAACTGAGAGCCAAAAACAGAGCTTGGGCATCATCAATCCCTGCATCACAGTCGATCAAGATAGATTTTGGCATTGTTCTGACTTTTATAAACAAGATGATATCCTTGGTAGATCCGCTGTAGCCTCGGGAGCTGAAGGAGGATGTGTGTATAAAGCACTTCTATATATATTCAATTTTTAACCGAGAAATTTACTCAGATTTGGACTTATTATGATTTTTTTCTAAGTGGAGGGCAAGGTTTATACCTTTATGGTCTTGATGATATGGATCAACATTAAATAGATGATTACATGATATATTATACTTCATCATCCCTCCTTCCCCTCCTATCAAGTTTTCCCTCCTATTCAACAATAACGATTTTTGAAAAGAAATACAATTTATTTAATTTATCTCATTTTTTAAATTTGATCTGTGTGATCAGTATTTAACTACTACTTAGCACTGATTCTCTCTTACGAAATTTCATGATGGAAATATGCGAGTTATATGCAAAAATAAATGATGAAGAGGGTTTTCATCTTTTCAGTGTTTTAAATAGATCATTCAACAGCTAGCACCTTTAATCTTTCTATAAAAGTGTTTTGAGACGCATTAAAGATCTGCATAAATCGTCCATTTCGTAGAGAGACTATCCATGTTTTCAACACGACACTATTGTTCCCAAAAGAGTGAAAATTATTTCAGGCTAGCAATTTGCTTTCGTTATGCTTTCAAACATTACAACAATATACGGTCTGTTATGACGCATGACAGCAAATCATCCAATATAGCAAACATCATGTATTATAATTATGATACATGTTATTTAGGAACATTGGATACTCCAAAAAATATGCTAAGAAATTTGTAAAACTTATATTATTTCAATAACGCATACTTATCTCCAAATTTTCCTATTTCTTTAATTCTAATTTCTTATTTCTTTAATTTCCCCAAATCTATTGTTTTATATTTACATGTATATTGAAATTCAATGCAAAATCATGAAAAAATTAAATACCATATAAAAAATAAATAAAATTAAATTTACACACTGAATTGTCGACTGATTTTTCCGTTATTTCCCGATCATGACAAGGAGCACACGGCGGGTGTGACAGGTCGGCAGGGGATGCTCACTCCTCCATGGCACCTGATCCCAACTCGGTCCGTGTTTGCTCTGCTCCAAAATTTGTATTGTGTAATGGACTTTTGAGCTTGAATACTGTTCGTTATCTCCATACATTTCATACCCAAAAAAGAATATAAATTTGCTCTGATTTGTCCATGCAACAAGCTAATTTTAAACATGAAGAAATGAAATACCAAAAAAAGAAGAAGAAAGAATATTAATTTACTGTAATTTGACCATGTAACAAAATAATTTGTGCCTAAAACAACGAAATTCTAGAGTGTTACTTTCACTGGATTTTGGATATCCTATGATCTTAATTCTGAATGTAATGTTCGCCATGTAACTGCGAAGGAATGATGTATGAATATAGCGAACAATAATCATACTCAAAAGTCTAATTAAACAAATGAACACAAATTGAGAGCAGGGCAAACACGGACTCCTGGAAACATCAGAGGTGGGATCCGAGGGAGCCATGGAGAACCATAGAATTTGTTGACTTTCAACGAGATTGTTGTATCACCAACTTATTTGTCAGAAGACCTCAGTGGTGTAGAAATTTTGCGTGTGCATCATGCTCTTACGTATCGCACCAAATGGGAGATATAAACATCATATGCAGGTGAAATGGTATATTGCTATGACTTTTTAACGACATAATTGGATTAGCTATACCTTAATTGCATTCGTTTGCGTTCGACAGTTACGGAATTCACCGAGTTTAATCCGCAGTGTGGGTACAACCAAATTTACATCAAGTATCACAGGCATGGAAGGAAACACAAGATATGTCAAAATAAAAAGTAAAAGGTATAACAAAACATTTATTGACTGTGTTCTCGGGCAATATGTGTTTTGTCAAACCCTCGAACCATGGAAACTGTTTGCATTCGGCCTAACGGCCTCAGGCAAACATTTTGGTTCTTGGATCCGACAAAACGCATACTGCCCTCGAACCAAGTCAATAAATGTATACTAATACACCTCGTGTGAACAAGATACTCGGTAAGTCGTTCGAACGACATGATATCTCGTCTGCATGTCCCAAATACAATGCATATAATCGTACTTTTGCGTGAAAAATCTCTGTATTATATTGAAAGAAAGGTCAGGAGCGTTACAGGCCTCCGACAAAACATTAGTTTCAGAGCAAAATCAAATTTCTTTGTCACCACGATGATTAGATGAAAACACGTAGACCTGGAAAAGAAGCAAGCTGCCTAACATTTGGAGAGATCAACATGAAGAAACCAACTCAACAATTTATGTATGCTTGTATATTTTAGTTACACCTTTGAAATGTTATTGTTTGAGTAATGAGTATGATTGCAATTATGTGGAATTCATGCACTTTTTAATTTAGAAAAAGGTTAAGAATTTCACACGTTTATGTTCGAGGTCTTGAGTAGAGTTGCAACTGTTATATTTATGCTTAAAAGCTTTTGAGGTCGTACTACAAAATCTCATGAGATTTTAAAAAATCAATTTTGTTAAGAAGTCTGATTTAATAAAACTTTACCTTTGAGAAGTGTTATCTACAACAAAACGCTTACCTGCTAGCTGTTCCGATTGTGTGTATGACTCTGCATGCATGCCGACACAACATTTACTGGAGTACCTGATAAGAATAATTTATACTCAATGTCGTATCACATAAACAGAGTTATTATCATTCAAAAAGGTTCTGTTACTTAAACAATTTACCAAGTAATATTTTAGCTCACCTGAGCCGAAGGCTCAAGTGAGCTTTTCTGCTCACATTTTGTCTGTAGTCCGTCTGTCTGTCCGTCTGTCCGTCTGTAAACTTTTCACATTTTCGACTTCTCCTCCAGAACCACTGGGCCAATTTCAACCAAACTTGCCACAAAGTATCCTTGGGTAAAGGGGATTGAAGTTTGTTCAAATGAAGGGCCACGCCTTCTTCCAAGGGGAGATAATTAAGAATTCGTGAAAAATTAATGGCATCATTAAAAAATCTTCTTCTCAAGAACCACTGTGCTTGAAAATATGAAACTTATGTGGAAGAATCCTCGGGTAGTGTAGATTCAAGTGTGTTCAAATCATGACCACCGGGGGTCGGGTGGGGCCATAATGGGCGATCAAAGTTTTACATAGGAATATATAGGAAAAATCTTTAAAAATCTTCTTCTCAAGAACAGCAAAGCCATGATTGGTCATGTTTACTTGGAAGCATCCTCAGATAGTATAGATTCGAGTTTGTTCAAATCATGACCCCCGGGGGTCGGGTGGGGCCACAATGGGCGATCAAAGTTTTACATAGGAATATATAGGTTAAATTTTTAAAAATCTTCTTCTCAAGAACAGCAAAGCCATGATTGGTCATATTTAAAAGGTAGCATCTTCAGATAGTGTAGATTCAAGTTTGTTCAAATCATGACCCCCGGGGGTCAGGTGGGGCCACAATGGGCGATCAAAGTTTTACATAGGAATATATAGGTAAAATCTTTAAAAATCTTCTTCTCAAGAACAGCAAAGCCATGATTGGTCATATTTACTTGGAAGCATCCTCAGATAGTGTAGATTCAAGTTTGTTCAAATCATGACCCCCGGGGATAGGGTGGGGCCACAATGGGCGATCAAAGTTTTACATAGGAATATATAGGAAAAATCTTTAAAAATCTTCTTCTCAAGAACAGCAAAGCCATGATTGGTCATATTTATATGGTAGCATCCTCAGATAGTGTAGATTCAAGTTTGTTCAAATCATGACCCCCGGGGGTCAGGTGGGGCCACAATGGGCGATCAAAGTTTTACATAGGAATATATAGGAAAAATCTTTAAAAATCTTCTTCTCAAGAATAGCAAAGCCATGATTGGTCATATTTACAGGGAAGCATCCTCAGATAGTGTAGATTCAAGTTTGTTCAAATCATGACCACCGGGGGTAGGGTGGGGCCACAATGGGCGATCGATGTTTTACATAGGAATACATAGGTTAAATTTTTAAAAATCTTCTTCTCAAGAACAGCAAAGCCATGATTGGTCATATTTATATGGTAGCATCTTCAGATAGTGTAGATTCAAGTTTTTTCAAATCATGACCCCCGGGGGTCAGGTGGGGCCACAATGGGCGATCAAAGTTTTACATAGGAATATATAGGAAAAATCTTTAAAAATCTTCTTCTCAAGAACAGCAAAGCCATGATTGGTCATATTTACATGGTAGCATCCTCAGATAGTGTATATTCAAGTTTGTTCAAATCATGACCCCCGGTGGTCGGGTGGGGCCACAATGGGTGATCAAAGTTTTACATAGGTATATATAGGAAAAATCTTTAAAAATCTTCTTCTCAAGAACAGCAAAGCCATGATTAGTCATATTTACAGGGAAGCATCCTCAGATAGTGTGGATTCAAGTTCGGGGGTAGGGTTGGGCCACAATGGGCGATCAAAGTTTTACATAGGAATACTTAGTAAAAATCTTTTAAAAATTTATTTCTTAAGAATAGCAAAGCCATGATTGGTCATATTTATATGGAAACATTCTTAGATAGTGTACATTCAAGTTTGTTCATATCATGACCCCCGGGGGTCGGGTGGGGCCACAATGGGTGATTAAAGTTTTACATAGGAATACATAGGTTAAATTTTTAAAAATCTTCTTCTCAAGAACAGCAAAGCCATGATTGGTCATATTTATATGGTAGCATCTTCAGATAGTGTAGATTCAAGTTTGTTCAAATCATGACCCCCGGGGGTCAGGTGGGGCCACAATGGGCGATCAAAGTTTTACATAGGAATATATAGGTAAAATCTTTAAAAATCTTCTTCTCAAGAACAGCAAAGCCATTGGTCATATTTACTTGGAAGCATCCTCAGATAATGTAGATTCAAATTTGTTCAAATCATGACCCCCCCCCCCCCCCCAAAAAAAACCAAAACCACTTTTATATTTAAACTTTTCAACCTTTCAAGACTGAACTGATTTCTGCTTTTTCCTAGCCATGGTGCTCAGGTGAGCGATGTGGCCCCTGGGCCTCTTGTTTATAATACTAATCAATTTTGCTTTGTTTAAGCTAAAATTTGAATTATGGAGAGTGGCTATGAATATAAAGGTAAGTGGTTATGAATATGAAAGTAAGTGACTGTGGATATAAAGGTGAGTGCCTGTTGGTATAAAGGCGAGTGGCTATAGATGTAAAGGTGAGTGGTTGCAGATATAAAGGTGAGTGAATGTGGATGTAAAGGTGAGTGGCTGTGGGTATAAAGGTGAATGGATGTGGATCTAAGGGTGAGTGGTTATGGATATATAAACGTAAATGGTTATGGATATAAAGGTGAGTGGTTATGGATATAATTGTGAGTGCTTATGGATATAAAGGTGAGTGGTTATGGATTTAAAAGTGAGTGGTTATGGATATAAAGGTAAAGTGGTTATGGATATAAAGGTGAATGGTTATGGATTTAAAAGTGGGTGACTATGGATATAAAGTTGAGTGGTTATGAATGTAAAGGTGAGTGGCTGTGGGTATAAAGGTTATTGGTTGTGGATATGAAGACGAGTGACTATGGATGTAAAGGTGAGTGGATTTGGGTATAGAGGTGAGTGGCTGCAGATATAAAAGTAAGTGGTTATGGGTATAAAGAAGAGTGGCTATGAAGGTAAAGGTGAGTGGTTATGGGTATAAATGTGAGTGGCTGCAGATATAAAGGTGAGTGGATGTGCGTATAAAGGCAAGTGGCTGCTGCAGTTATAAATGTGAGTGGATGTGGGTATAAAGGTGAGTGACTGTGGATATGAAGGTAAGTTGGTGTGGGTATAAAGGTGAGTGGCTGTGGGTATAAAGGTGAGTGGTTGTGGGTATAAAGGTGAGTGGCTGCGGATATAAAGTTGAGTGGCTGCAGGAATGAAGATGAGTGGATATGGATATGAAGGTGAGTGGTAATAGATGTAAAACTATTTTTTTTTAATTTTTTTTTTTTTTAGGTTTTGTTTTTTTTTTTTTTTGGTTTTGGTTTGTTTGTTTTCTTTTCTTTCTGTCTTTTTTTTCGCTTGTCGGAATTTTGGGAAAGTTGCCCCCCCCCCCCCCCCCACTTTTGAAACTGTTGCTACAGGCCTGATGGGGAAAAAGATTCAGGTTCGTATGAAATTACTTTTTTCAATAAAATCACTTATTTAGGTACATATTTGAAAAATAGAGCATATTATGATTGTGTTGATAAACAGAGTTTAACAAAGTTTTTATGAGTATCTATGAATATCTACCGACGTATTATTGATAGACCTCAAATATCCACATATGACAGGGTTTCGACAATACAGGCTGGTAAGGCTTGCTGAACGACCTCGACCACGATTTCTATCTTGTAAAAAGAGTTTCACACCTGCATGAATGAATATCTGTAAACTTGACATATATAATAAAAACATATGTATGTATATTTTTTTAGATTTATTTGCTAATTTCGTATCATTGGTATTTTTTTTGGGGGGAGGGGCACTGATCTTGAAGGATTACATAATATCTAATCAAAATGTGAAAGTTGCGATTCCGAGGCTGTGACATCGAGCATCATCCCCTCAACAAGCCATTTTCACCCCACCCCACTCCCATCTAATATGCTCTTTGTCAGTTTATTTACACAAATTTTTAACTGTGTAGGGGGCTTAAAGATTATTTTTGGTGTCATTTTACAGCGAAGTGTTTTTGGTTGAATTAGAACAGATATAATGCAAGGATTGACAGTATTTTCAGTACTTTGATCTTTGTTTCAATGTCTACATATAGGAGTTATCTCTCTTGCATATATCAATTTACCTTTTATACATGTTAGATGGGTTTTGTTAGAAAATGATAGCAATTGATATATACCTCTATAAAGAAGAACTTTTATATTATCTTACGAATGGATGCTCTAGTTCATAAACCTGTGACATTTGTTGAAAAAAGTGAATTAAGGAAATAAGACTCTATGGGGTAAAAAGCCAGACCGAAATGAATCGAACGTAAACATCCGGCAAATACATCTACTACTACTAATTTCTTGACAACAGCCAGATATCCATGCTAATTGATCATAAAGTTTAATTAATTTTGAGCATATAGCTATATGTTTAATCTAGCATTTAAAAAGCTAGGCTGACAACGTAGGGAAGGTCGGCTTTAAAGATTAAACATTGTTAATAAGAGAGTGCACATGTCCGGTACAAAGACCGGCGTGTTTGTGGTTGCTCGCCAGATCAGGCGGACTTTGGACCTAGCGAAGGACAACATGACTCTGCTGAAGTGTGGCGTATTTTTTGCGCTGGGATGTTTCTTGTCCTACTACCTCGGTCTGTCCTGTGCCCTGACCACCTTCATTGTGTTTGTGGTATATCTTGTCACGGGAGGTTGGCGTTTCACCTGGGTGGTCATAAACACCCTTCCCAGAGATTTAAAGTGAGTGTCATTTATAACATTGCATGCTTATTAATTAATAAATATCATACATATATGGACTCTTTTGGTAGTGAATAAAGGACTTGAATGAGAGGTTAATATTGATATTTTTCTGGTGAATATCAAACCATATTCACCACAAAAGAGTCCCTAATTGATGTATTATATAATCAAAATTGGAATAAACATGGTAAATAAGACAGCGAGGCTGCATGGTGACACTTTTTTCACTAACAAACTTCTGTCACGGAAAGAGTAAAAAAGTGTCCAGATTACAAGTAGGAACATATATCTAGTCAAACCTTGTTATCTCAAACTCTGTGAGACCTAGAAAAAACTTCAAGATGTCTGAGGATTCCAGAGATAGACTAAGGGTAAAATTCCTAAAAAAAAATTAGTGTTTGGGACTTGCAAATCACTGCGACATATCCATGGTAATCCAGATATTGGTGTTCGAGATACCGAAGTTCAAATTGTACCGGTAATAACTATATTAGTGTATACCTGTCCCTCTTACAAGTTAGAACTTCTGTGTTTTCCTTTCATTGTGTGTAATTAAAACATCAAACTGTTTGCATGGAAAATAATCCAGTGATAGGCAGCGAGTGAGTTGCCTAACATTTTTCCTGCTCAGATATACAGCTGGCTTCAGCCATTGCAACTATATTGTTTACAACATCGTTTGTGATCACAATTGCAGCTGCACGCACACTGACCCTCCGGTGATTATAGATTAGGACTCAAATCCAGTGAATATGTAGTGTTATGAACTGTTTGCACTTGTTTAGATTATGTACGGACTATTAGTAGACTATATGATAAATAGTGTCATGAACTGTTTACGTTTGCATAGAATACCGTATATAGGGACTATAAATAGGGTGTACATGTAACATAATGTTTTGATACTGCGAAATATTGGGCCCAGTTTTAATTTATATATCGCATAATAATTCGAACCTGGGTTCACTTTTTAGCTGCAATATCATAAGCCCCCATAAAATATTGAATCCCAGATTCATAACATCATAACATTTTGCAGCAAAATATTGACTCCCCTCAATGATTTTATTTAGTGTGTGTATGTGTGTGAACCCATCATCTTTTAAATGGCCATTGGGAATGATTAGAAGGGGGTTCAAAATGTTATGGCCATAATATTTTGAACCCTAGGTTCAATATTTTATAGGGGGTTCAATATTTTGTAGCAATATTTTGAACCTGGATTTAAAATATCGGGGCTTGGGTTCAATATATTTGACACCGGTATATAATAAACTTTGATCTTGGTTCAGGATTCTTTAACATTTTTGTAAAGACATGAATGTATGTTGTGAAAAACATTTTCTGTATCAATCACGGTAATTCCATGCTGTGAGTGAACTCATTGGTACTTGTTATGGCATGATTAATGTTAAAGCCCTTTCTTTCTTGTGTCACTGTTGACTAGCCTACTACCAGCATTCATTCATTTAACTTACTGGTACATCATGATTGTATAATTCAGCTTGATTTGGCCCATTTTTCACAAAAAACTAATATGTTAATGTACAGTGTACTATTTAGGAAATGCATGTACTACACATATTTCAAATTATATTTTTCTTTTCCAGGGCTCTTCAGGTTTTAGTAAAGCTCAAACTTGATACAAAAAAGTATATTGCCAATGACACCACAATAGCTGAATTGTTCTCAAAGACAGCAGCCAAATATCCAAATAAAGACTGTATACTTTTTGAGAAGCAGCGATGGACATTCAAGGATGTGGATATATATGTAAATCGTGTAGCCAATTACTTCCAGGAGGAAGGGTACCAGAAAGGAGATGTTGTGGCCATTTTGATGGAGAACAGGCCCGAGTACATCTGTTTCTGGCTTGGTCTATCAAAGATTGGAGCTGTTGCAGCCTTGATAAACTATAACCTCAGAAATCAACCCTTGGCACACTCTGTTTCTGCAGCTGAAGCCAAAGGCTTTGTATTTGCAGGAGATTTGTCAACTGGTATATAGAGAAAATAGAATTCCTTATAAACACAAGAAGATAAAGATAAAATGAAATTATGGCCAAAGACCTGAATTACATTCTTAATTTAGAGAGAGTTGAATTTGCAAGTAAGAGGGTATTGTACTTCACAAACACACTTTGTTCTATATGTTTTTTTTTTCAGCTGTGGAAGAAATAATGCCTAGTCTATCTAGAGAAATAAAGCTTTATTGTGTTGGAAGTCTAGTTAGTTCAGGACTTTCACCAATTTATATGGATCCAATTTTACAGAAAAGTCCAGACTTTCCACCTAGGAAAGTAAGGGTTAAGTTTACAGGTAATTGCTGGTTCCAGTCTTTCCTCCTAGAAAAGTCAGGGTTAAGTTTACAGGTACTGTAAACCAACTATTATTCGTGTCATCTTTTATTCGCGATTTGTCAGTTTGAAGTCATTCCTTGACGATTTATTTTCGTGACCGAGGAATTATTCTGTATAAATATAAAGCAAAATAAATGGTTTGCAGCGATTAATATTTGCGAGTTAAAGTAGGTCACAAAACTTGCGGATATTTCTCACACGCGAATAAAAGTTGGTTTACAGGAATTGCTGGGATGTTTAAGGGGAATCGTACATGGATTTTGCTCAATCTTAAGATGAATACATGTATAATTATAATTTTTCTCTGGAGAGAATTAGAGAATTAGAGAGGAATAATTCATTCTGAATAATTTAAGACTTGCTATGTTTGGGTATATCTCTGACTACACAACTTTTGATCAGTTTGGCAATGTTTTAACTGGGGGGAAGTTGGGTGGGACTCTGCCTTATAGCTCCTTAATAATGCACACCCTCCTTGGAGTGGATTTTTCGTTTTACTGTTTAGAAATTAAATGTTTAAAAGTGTACATTACTCTGGGAGCTTACAGTTTTCTTCTCTTTTTGATGAGAATATATATAAATTTTATGATCATTATAATTTTCCGATTGTGTTTATCGTAAGATTTTTATTTGACTTTATTTTCAGATAAACTTTTCTATGTATTTACATCAGGAACAACAGGTCTTCCTAAGGCAGCAATTATTAGTCATTCAAGGTAAAACTTATTAAATAAAAATTGATAGTTAACATATAAAATCCAACCCTTGTTATTGAATAGACATTTGAAACAACAATATGAACCATGTTGTGTCAACTACAATGCATATAACTTGGAGAAATGAATAAAAATCAAAACTAAAGCTACCCAAAATTCTTAATGATTTTATACAGTTAGTGCATTGGCTTGATAATTATTCTGACTTTTCCTTAGTAAATAATTCTGCAGGTTTAAGGTTTTATTCAGCACCAAATTTTTATCAAATGGATGTTTAAAGCATGTCTCTGGATTAGATGCAGAACTATGGCGATATGGTTTTATATTTTAGTCTTTGACAATAACGCTACAGATCCTGTAATGCAAATATTGTGCAATTTACGGCACAAGACTTTCTGCACACTTTGGGGATGTATTTCACCACTTTTCAGCATTGGTCAATCAACTACTTTTCATTCCCTAATTCTAGACATATTCTATAACCAATATGTATATTTTATCCACCTCTTAACCCTTTTAGTCGCTTGTGAATTTTATGCTATCCAACAACAAATTCACAACAAGCAAGTTTATTGGTCTGTAGAGATGACTATAAAGGGTTAGGAGGTGGATAAAATATACAGGGTGGTTATAGAGTATGTCTAGAATTAGGGAATGAAAGGTCATTGATTGACCAATGCTGAAGAGTGGGGATATACATCCTCAAAGTGTGCAAAAATCTTGGGCCATAAATTGCATAATATTTGCATTATGGAAATTGTAGTGTTATGGTCAATTTTAAACCATTATGCTACAGTTCCAGTGATTCATTTTGGTGTGCGTCCTGCGTAAATTACGCACAGATTTTGCCCAGGACGCATTATTTCAATAAATGTGCATCCCAATGGACGCAATGAATTTATAGAAGGACATTTATTATTTTAAATTGTTTCCATATAATCTGATTCAAAGCTTGACCGATTGCATCATTTCCACGCGCTAAGCGATATGCATGAGTGAACAGGTGTAAGTTTGCTAACAACAGGTCAGATTTGACAATTCACTCTTAAATTGCATATACAAGCAATTATCAGAAAATATTTAGAAGTAAGATAGCATACTAGTAGTTAGATTATGTCTACTGTGGAACATTTTTGAAGCGTATACGTGTACCAGGGACCTATATACTGACTATATAGGTCCCTGCGTGTACTAGGCTATACCTTTGTAATTAAGATATAATTTAACCTATATATTTTAATTTTTTCCTTAGAAGCCAAGACGTACATGTATAAAATATGATCATTTTTCTTTCTAACTATTTTTCATTTTTTTAAAAACTTTCTTTACTTTTTTTAATAGAACAACTGATCTGCTTCTGTGCTTTTTATGACAAAGATCGTAGTTATGATCTAAACATAGAAACAAGGTCCACAGTTGACAATATATTATTTTTATGCCACAAAATCATTTATTCTTACTTCCAATTCAATAGTCAAAGTATAGACCATTCACAGTTACAATAAAACATTAGCACTTTCGTGCAATATCCATTTATATTTCACCAGAATTTCCTCTGTAGTATTTAATATGCAGTACCCTAGGGCCTTGGTTTTGGACGCATTGATTTTGGCATGGGACTCATTATTTTCATTCAGAGGGGTCCTTTGGACCCATGATAACCATTTTCAAAATGAATCACTGCAGTTCTGCAGCTAGTCTCTGGCAAATTAGACATCTGAGAGTTTCAAATTTGCTGTTAAATAATCCATAACATAAAAATATAATGAAACATTTCAAGGAGAGTCAGGTAGACATTGTATTTTTTTTAAAATAAAAAATAAGAAATATGGTAACAGAATTTTGTTGATATTTTTTCAATCGGTGGATGAAATCTTCAGAAATATTTTAATATACAGAAAAGAAATACAGTACTGTAGAATCACATATTTCTGGGGTCAAATTTTCGTGGATTGAAGAAAAACGGGGGGATGGTAGGGATTTGATTTTGTAGATGAAGAATTGTTGAGTAGTAACATATGTGCAAAAATGCATTTTGTGGTGGTCATGAATTCGTGGATCTCTTCACACCTTGTAAACAACGAAAATTAAACCCCCAGGAAAATTAGTGATATCACAGTATTAGGTAATCATATTTTAAAAAGAAATTGAAATGAAATTGCAGAAAAATTGCTAATTTTTCAAATCTGCACCAATCCCAATTTAAATTAACCAGATCCTGATAAGAATAAATTCAAAATAAAAAAGTTAATAAATTACTGTCAATCTGATGCCATTGCTGGGAGAAAAATCAACTTGCTTAATTTCCACTTCATATAATTCCAATCAGGATCAGTTTAATTTAAATTTGGATAGGTTCAAATTTAAAGGACATTTATGGTTTATGCATTAACAGCAAATTTAAAGCTCTCAAGTGTCTTATTTACAATGAAAAAAATTCCATTTTCTCTGGAAAAAATGCAAAAAAATTATAAAAAATAATTGAGAGCATATATAGGTCTTTCAGTGATGAAATCATATTTCTAAACATGCAGTAAAAAGTTTGGTGTGGCTCACCTCCTTAAGAAGTCAAACTTTATGAACTATCAATTATTTCTAAATTTTTATCAGATTTGTCAAATCTTTTACAGATTTAATTACATGGCTGTAGCAGTGAACCAGTTTATGAACTTGACTGACCAGGATGTGCTATATGATTGTCTGCCCTTGTATCACACTGCCGGGGGTGTGGTCGGGGTAGGTCAGATGATCATAGCAGGAACAACGCTAGTTATCAAAAAGAAGTTCTCTGCCAGCCGATTCTGGGATGATTGTGTGGAATACAAATGTACTGTAAGTAACGTACATACCTAAGACAACAACTAGAATTGTAAATTTAATTGTTAGACTAGTTGTTTGATGTTGTTACAATTATTATCTGCTGGGCAGGCAGGACAATACATTGGGGAGATTTGTCGATACCTCTTGGCTCAGCCTGTCAAGCCTGTGGAGACTCAACACAAAGTCAGGGTGATGTTTGGGAATGGTTTAAAGCCACAGATCTGGCAGGAGTTCCAGAAAAGATTTGGGGTGACCCATATGGGAGAATTCTATGGGGCCACAGAAGGAAACTGCAACACAAGTGAGTGCCATGTTAGAGAATATCATCCAAAGTGAACGTATAAGTATCATTACTGGCCAAGTTATATTACTCAAATGAAGGTATATTTATGTTAATTAAAAATTTATACCAAAGCAATTTTGACAAAGGGTTTAGATTAAGACAATAATTTTGATATCTGATATTTTTACAGAAATTTTACTTTTTTGACTTTTAGTAAATCCAGACAACACTGTTGGAGCAGTGGGTTTTACGACAATGATTGCCCCCTTCTTGTACCCCATCACACTCATCAAAATTGATGAAAGAACAGGGGAGCATGTCCGAGACCGAAATGGAGTGTGCATACGAGCAAAGCCAGGTTAGCAACTTTCTACTTAGGCATGTTCTTTGTAAAGCAATTTGTTGCATAAAAAATGAAAAATAATATTTACCTGCAAGATATGGAAAGGGATCACATACAAGTATGTGTTACTTGCTCCCACAGGCCTTTGGATCATTTTAACTCGACTGACAAAATTGGGGTAAAAAAAGTTATACCCCCCCCCCACCTCGTTTAGTCAGTTAAATAAAAGTGATCCAAAGGCCTGTGCTTGCTCCTGGTCCATTTAATATGATACATCACTTATTTGTGTACTATAGCAGTCAGACTTATTAAGAGATGAATAATAGACAGTATTCCTATTTGATATTTTTGTTACAGGTGAACCCGGAGAATTAGTGGGTAAAATCGTAAAAGGTGATGCCTTGCGAGAATTTGATGGATATGTCAGTAAACAGGCCACAGATAAGAAAGTGTGCTGTGATGTGTTCAAGAAAGGAGACAAAGCATTTTTAACAGGTAACCAATTCAAAACTATTAATATAATTTTTTTTCATGACTATCAAACTTTGCACAAGATTTGAGCATTTTGGAACATTTCTTGTGTTCTATTTTAGAAAGTAGGAAATATTCTGATAATTAATGGACAAGTATTTTTATTTATTTTTCGGTGATATTTTGATCATAGACTAGTTTGGATATTTTTATTTTAGATGAAATTCTGACAATGGATAGATTTGGATATTTTTATTTTTTTTAGGTGACATTCTGATTATGGACGAGTTTGGATATTTTTATTTCCGAGACAGGACAGGTGATACATTCCGCTGGAAAGGAGAAAATGTTTCGACTTCTGAGGTGGAGGCTGTTATCAGTAACATCATCAAACTTAGTGACGCTGTAGTGTATGGGGTGGAGATCCCAGGTAAAGAAATTATATCAAACTAGGTTTATGTTAATGAAAATTCCATAAATTTTTTCTTGTATGCTATTTTTAGCTCACCTGAGCTGAAAGCTCAGGTGAGCTTTTCTGATCACCCTTTGTCTGTCGTCCGTCCGTCCGTCTGTCTGTCCGTCCGTCTGTAAACTTTTCACATTTTCAACTTCTTCTCAAGAACCACTGGGCCAATTTTGACCAAACTTGGTACAAAGCATCCTTGGGTAAAGGGGAGTTTAAATTGTTAAAATAAAGGGCCAAGCCCCCTTCCAAGGGGAGATAATCAAGATTAGACAAAAATAGGGTGGGGTCATTAAAAAATCTTCTTCTCAAGAACCACTGGGCCAGAAAAGCTGAAACTTATGTGGAAGCATCCTGGGGTAGTGTAGATTCTAAATTGTTCAGATCATGACCCCCGGGGGTAGGGTGGGGCCACAATAGGGAATCCAAGTTTTACATTGAAATATGTAGAAAAAATCTTGAAAAATCTTCTTCTCCGGAACCACTGGGCCAGAAAAGCTGAAACTTATGTGGAAGCATCCTGGGGTAGTGTAGCTTCTAAATTGTTCAGATCATGACCCCCGGGGGTAGGGTGGGGCCACAATAGGGAATCCAAGTTTTACATTGAAATATGTAGAAAAAATCTTTAAAAATCTTCTTCTCAAGAACCACTGGGCCAGAAAAGCTGAAACTTATGTGGAAGCATCCTGGGGTAGTGTAGATTTTAAATTGTTCAGATCATGACCCCCGGGGGTAGGGTGGGGCCACAATAGGGAATCCAAGTTTTACTTTGAAATATGTAGAAAAAATCTTTAAAAATCTTCTTCTCAAGAACCACTGGGCCAGAAAAGCTGAAACTTATGTGGAAGCATCCTGGGGTAGTGTAGATTCTAAATTGTTCAAATCAGAACCCCCGGGGGTAGGGCGGGGCCACAATAGGGAATCCAAGTTGTACATGGAATATGTAGGAAAAAATCTTTAAAAATCTTCTTCTCAAGAACCACTGGGCCAGAAAAGCTGAAACTTATGTGGAAGCATCCTGGGGTAGTGTAGATTCTAACTGTTCAAATCAGAACCCCCGGGGGTAGGGCGGGGCCACAATAGGTATTTCAAGGGAAAATCTGGTAAAGAACAGCATGGCCAAAGTTACTCAGGTGAGCGATGTGGCCCATGGGCCTCTTGTTTGTTCTGTTGGGACAGACAAGCTAAGGGATATCAGTATATTCAGTAGGATTGAGAAAATTGTAATGATAATGAATCCATATATTCCAGGTCTGGAAGGAAGAGCTGGAATGGCAGCCATTGTTGATGAACACAATTCCTTAGATCTGGATCATCTTTACTCAGCTCTACAGAAATCACTTCCAGCATATGCTAGACCTCTATTCATCAGAATCAAGAAAGCTGTAGATACAACAGGTATTGGCCCACATGAAAAACAGAGCATTTTATTTTAACATTATACATGTACTATCATTTTTAAAATCTACAGTTGAACTTCAGTATCTTGTACATCAATATCTCAAATAACATGGATATATCAAAGTAGTTGGAAGTCAAACTACTTATTCTTTATGTATTTTACCCTCGATATCTCAAATCCCCAGAAATCTTGAAGTATGTTCTTGGTCCCATTGATTTAGAGATATAATTTGGTATTAGATACCTTGTGTTATTATTATACTATGGCTCAAAAAAATTAATTACAGAAACAAGTGCCTGTGATATAAATTTATACTAAGACCATTACATTCAAGGAAATGTAGAAAGACAATTATTGATATTGCATTGTATAGAGTAAAAATGCAGCAGAGATTCTGTTGTATTTTTTAAACAGAACATTGATTCTGTTGTGTTTTTTTTTAATTTCAAATGTTTGAGTTATCTCCTTTAATTAATAAAACTTTTCATGAAATGCAGGTACCTTTAAACTGAAGAAGGTGGATTTACGGAAAGAAGGTTTTAATCCTAATGTTGTAAAAGATCCATTGTATTGTTTGATTTCTGGAAGATATGAACGCATCACAGAGCAAGTGTACAATGACATCTGCAGTGGAAAAATTAGGCTATAGTCCAAATTTGTAGTTATTGGCAGAAACCCACCAATGACATAAATGTTTATGTGACCATATGATACTCAGGAAATACTCTGGTATTTCTACAGGAAATAAATGGTTGAACTTTCAGACAGGAAGGAAATGAATGGAGTGCAGTAATTAAGTTATTAACTGATTGTGAGTGAAAACCAACCCTATCTCAAGTAGAAATTTATTTATTTTTCTAGAATTTTTAAGAATAGCATGTTAAAGAGAAGCATGTGATGTGAGTAAAGTTGTTTGGAGATTTTTGCTGGAGTTTTATCTAGGATTTTGTTCCTTCCTCAAAACCAAGAGTAATACAAACCTATACTATTATATTGACATCTACATGAAAGTGCAATTTCTTTTCTGTGTGATATTGCCTGAACAAAACCGTAATTTGTTAATTTTTTTTATACAGATATCAATACTTACCAGGGTACTTCTATCAAAGTTTTTAACAGTCACCAATTTCACAGAACTTGTTATGACAAAAGTACATGATTTTCTAAAGTCACTTTGTTGTTATGTAATGGTTGTGTGAATATACATGTATTGATGTGTGCTTTATGAATGAAAGTGAATGTTTTTAAAATTTAGTAATGAACATACATGCTAGTGTGGTGGAATATTGTTTAATATGATTTACTCCTCCAAATTCACAGAAATTTACTTTAACAATCAAAAATTTGCTCAAGTAATTTTAATAAAACACTGAATGACCTGTTGTAGTATCTTGTAATTGGTGATAGCATGATTAATAAAATCTTTAAAATTTAACTTTCTGAAAAATAGGAAAACCTTAAAGTAAAGGAAATAAAGTGAGCAAAGAGCTAGGTTCACTTTATCCATAAAATGGCCCTGCCCATATACTAATTAACTGACCAAGACCCAGAGTCCCATTTCAAACATCAATTAAAAGAAGAGATTTAGACAGTGCTGTCCTATAAAAAAGTTTCTTTTTAGTGTCTAGGTATTAAGAAATATGCTTTGTGAAATTGCAATGTTCTTCAATTTTGCAGTATGATAATAAAATAGTAAAATGTGAGCCCACCCCTTGATCCCCAAAAAAATCCTGGTAATATTTTATAATCTTCAGAAAGAGTTCTTTCATTATACATGTATAATTGCAAATTTTGGATCATAGGTTGGGCTTGATGCAAATTATTGAAAAACACCCTAAGCTTTTGACCATTTTTTAAAGAAATTTTCAGGGTTTGAGGATAATGACACAATTCATGATGTCATAATACATGGACTAGCTAGAAAATTACATCATTTTAAATAGTTATGCAGTCACCAATAGTCCAAGTGAAATTTAATGGATTGTCAACTGAAACTAATTAGTTTTGATTTTTCAGAAATTCACAGGGCCAAAAAAATCCCTTAGTGAACCTTGTTCTTTGACTTCAATGTAAAAAAAAAACAACTTGATTATACACTTGTACTGCATGATGATGACTACACATTTTATTTTGATAACATGTAGTCCTACATTCTTGTGAAAAATAAAAAGAAATGTGTAAATCTTAAATTTTGCATCACTTGACTCACTAAACCATGATACAGACCAAAGCCATTTTTAATGGCTTAGACACCACAGAGGTAAGGAGTAATCTAACTACCCCCCTCCTTTCAAGGAATGCAGGAGCAGAAAGTGAGTTTTCTCCACACCAGCAACACTGATGAACATTGATGAGAAAAACTCCTGTGACTGTTTGGTTCAGGTTTATTGCAAAGATATCTAAGACAACTATACATAAATGTACATCCACAGTGTTCACACATTAATTATAAATAAGGTCAACTAAATGTTTTCTAATATAAAATGTATTGTTTATATTATGTGTAGGATAAAACAAATCTTTTTTTTTTTTTTTTGCTTAAGCAATAACGTTACATTAAAGATTCTTAAGTATATGCAAGGAATTTACTGTAAACCAACTATTATTCACGTCATATTTTATTCGCAATTTAGCAGTTTGAAATCAATATGCGACGGTTAATTTTCACGACTGAGGAAACATTCTCTACGAAAACAAAGCAAAATAAGTGGTACGCGGCGATTATTATTCACGAGTTAACGTAGGTTGCGAAACTCACGGATATTTCTTGCACACGAATAAAAGTTGGTTTACAGTATCATCACATAATTTAGACAGAAGCCATGCTTGCAAAATATAATTACTTGCTCTTATTTTAAATGTTTTATGTTGCTGAAATATATATAGAAACTCTAATGCAACAGTCCATTCATGAATTCATGTTCTCGGAATTCGACATCTTCAAGTCATTTTGCAATATTAAGGAAGCGATTGCAAGGGTCCGTGAAAAAAAATGCGCTCAATGAATTTTTCTCATTTTTACATATAATTTGCCTTACGTTAATGTATCATAATATGAAAATTTCAGCCATGGTCATCAGGGTTATAAGGCTGATATGGTTGCCATGGTAACCGCAGTTTTTCAATATTTTGATATTTATGAGGTGAAATTTTATATATCCCATACATGTATCAAAATTGAAACAAAATAAAAAAAATTCCACTAGATATTAAATAATATGCTTCATATTCAATGAAAATAAAAATTGTATCGGAAACTATTCATAGACGTAGTAATGCCACCGCTGCTTTTGGGAGTATTCATTGTAAATTTGCAGTAATATTTTCACATCAATAGCAGTTCTCAACGTCTTGACAAAAAATTACCCAAATTTTCCAAATACTAATATATTTTGTACAAATTATTATAAGTGACTTAAGGTTAAAATATGAAGGCCAAGTATTCACATAAAATGAGAAATCTATGGTATTGTTTTATGTCTGATTATTAGGATAGTTTTACAGGCAATCTAATTAAAATTAGAAGTTAGATCTCACATACCGGTACTCACTACACTAAATGTGCATCAAGCAGATCTAATAACATCTAATAAACATAATTAAATCATGACATGTAATACACTTATGGATAAAAGATAACTCTCAACAGCTGAAATTTATGCATTTTGATAATTCAGAAAGAAAGCATTCAAATTTTGGTGCTGTAATCTTTTGCAATTTCTATTGCATGCATGGGATTTAAATGTAGTGCAGTTCTACTGCATACAATGTATCGATCAATTTTCAATTTGCAAAATAAGACTAGCAGAAATTACTTCTTCCATAAGAAACAATTATCGACTTTTGCAATAACAAAGATATTAGTCAGTCTGATACATGTACATGTAACTGCTAATAATATGCAATTATGGATTTCAGTGTAGGTGGATATGTGGTTATAAGGACCCATATATTGACAGAAAACTCTAAAAGTGTTAGTGACTGAGCTTCAGGGGATGCCATCATTTTCTGTGTCTGAGGTCAATATCACTCCAAACAAATAACCTTACACAGTCCTATCTGTTTGTGTAAGAGATATGGTTGGCTATCATGACGTCATAATGGTAAAAACAATATTATGCCTCATGTGCTATGTATCTTTTGCGTGGCCATTTATAGAGATAGTCAGTTGTGCAGACACACTTTGCATCAATATCACAAAAGGATGAATATAATGAAATTCTTTTAGCCAATAAAAATTATGAAAAAATCTTCTTACTATAATTACAAGAGTTGTTTGTGAAACACTTATGCCCCCCCCCAAATAATAGGAATTTTTTAAGTCCTTGGGGCATAACTCTGTCAAAAATTGCTCAATCATACCCAAAACAGAACTTGACCTAGAATTCTTCTGATAAATCTGTATACTAAATTTCATTTCAGTATGTGCAACCTCTGTGAAGAAAATGAACACAAACTGTTGGTGGACCAACAGACAGACAGACTGACCAACCAACAGACGGAAGTAAAGCAATATGCCCTCCCTTCTTCGAAGGGAGGCATGAATATTATATATTTCAACCTTTAGTCTTCAATATTTCCTTTGTCTTTAAAAACAAGGATTTAAATTATAAAATATGAATTTACATGACTACATAATACCAGTAATTCTTATTATAAAGCCTGAGAAATCAGTTGTTATATACATGCATTTGTCTATTTTAATTCTTGTCACCATCTAGAATGTCTTTTCTGCAAATGGGACAAACAGCTTTCCTCTGAAAGAGAGAAATAAAAATCATAATTTTTTCAAGGGTAATAAAAGGTCCTCTTAAACTTCATCATAAGAGGAGACTTACATACCATTTTAAGATTAATATTCTTCGCCATTAGCATATATTTTTCTATGTGCTACTATGAAAATCTATGGTTCATTGTGCACATAAAGAACAATGATCCCCATTAGAATGAATCTCAGTACAGGTTTAATTATTCTCTAGTCATGTATCTATGATTAAGCCTATTTCAAAAGGAGGTTTGATTTTAACTACATTATATTAGCTATAAGCAAGGCCTTGATTGGTTCAGTATCTGAATTTCTCATTTTTTTGTTAAATGTCCAATAATCTAAGATACATTTTGCTCTACAAAGAAACACTGACCTTTAACCAAGTTTCTATGCAGTGTTTATGAAATCTATGATTGCATGGTAAGGATGTGATGGTATCCCCATCATCAAAGTCCGAGATACATATCCGACACTCGTTAACATCATTTGTGTCTGCTGTCTGGGACTGGAACTGTGTCGTACAGAGAGACTGAAGAGCTTCCTCTGTTATTCCACTTCCTTTTGCATCTCCAATCCTCTCGGCCAACTCCCATAATGCCTGAACAAAACCATCATTATCACAAAATTATTAAGTAATCAACATACACCAAAAGAATTGAGGTACTATACAGTTTCTTTTTTTCACTTTCAATATCATTTTTAGATTCTACTTGAGAAAATTTTGATTGCTTAGAATCTTATCTAATCAAATAAGATTAAACCACCAAATTCATTGAATACAATGTTCAAAGGAGAATTAATCTGATGAAAACATTTGAAAAGGAGCTAATCCTAAAGCACATAATATACTCAGTAAAGAGGAGGTGACAGTAATAAACAGGCATGTAGTATCAGTATCCACTTTTCCCAAACAAAGTTTAACTGCTAATTTCAATGAATTGAAAGGCTGGTTGCCCCCCCCCCCATCCCACCACCACATTTTTGTTGCAGTACAGTGTATAGTCAAATCCCCCTACCCTTTCCCATTTTCTTCTTTTGGCTTGACAAAGATTTTTGAGTTTGGGTTTTGAGTTATCAATTATTTTTCTGCCTCCCCCTTCCCCACTTTTAAAAACAATGCTTATAGTTATACATTCCTGATAAAGAGGTAGCTTTTTCTTATTAAAAGATTTACAGTGTAAAGGGTTGAAGGTCACTTTTTTACAGCACATCATTTTCAATCTTTAAATTCATACCTCGTAGTCATTCAAATCAACATTTCCTTGCATGAGATGAGGTGGCAAGATTTGACCTTCCTGAAATGAACACAGAATACTATTAAAGTAAAAATTCACGTCCACCTGCATGTCTTAGACTAATGACTTTACAGCAGGGCTGAAAAATGTTCAACATAATCTAGTACTGAAAATTGGACTTTATAACACAAACAGTGGTATTTTACAATAAAATGATTCCTAATAATCATCCATATAAAATTTTCCGGTAGCTATAATATTTATAGTATATGGATACAGTAATTAAATACTAACCATTCCAAGAATTGACTGTAATAATAGAAGACCTTCTGGCATTCCTGTGGAACAAAAAAATTCACAAACTTAATCTATTTACTTAAAGAGAGACTTAATTTATATCAACTGAAACAAAGTTTAACAAGAGGCCCATGGGCCACAATGCTCACCTGAGTAACTATGGCCCTTCTTGTTCTTCACTAGTAGATTCTTTTTGCTATATATTTCTATGTAACTCTTTGATTGCCCATTGTAGCCCCACCCTACCCCAAGAGGTATAATGATTTGAACAAACTTGAATCTACACTAGCTGAGTATGCCTCCATATTTTAAAATATGATTAAGCATGACTTTGCTGTTCTTGAGAAAATTTTTAAAGATTTTTCCTATGTAAAACTTTGATTGCCTATTGTGGCCCCACCCTACCCCTGGGGTCATGATTTGAACAAACTTGAATCTACATTATCTTTGGATACTTCCTTATAAATATGACTTATCATGGCTTTGTTGTTCTTGAGAAGAAGATTTTTAAAGATTTGTCCTATATTTACCCATGTAAAACTTTTGATTGACCATAGTGGACCCACCATACACCTAAGGGTCATGATTTAAACAAACTTAAATCTACATTACCTGTGGATACTTCTATATAACTATGACTGATCATGGCTTTGTTGTTCTTGAGAAGAAGATATTTAAAGATTTGTCCTATATATACCCATGTAAAACTTTGATTGACCATAGCAGACCCACCATACACCTGTGGGTCATGATTTGAACAAACTTGAATCTATACCATGTCAGTAAGCTGTCACATGTTTTCTTGCCCTGTGGTTACTGAGAAGAAGATTTTTAAATGACCCCACCCAATTTTTACTATTTCTTAATTATCTCCCCCTGGAAGAGAGGGTGGCCCTCAATTTGAACAAATTTGAATCCCCTTCACCAAAGGATGGTTTGTGGCAAGTTTGGTTGAAAATGGCCAAGTGGTTCTAGAGAAGATGAAATTGTGATTAGTCTACAACCACTATGACAGACAACAGACAAATTTCGATCAGAAAAACTCAGTTGAGCAGGCAATGATTTATAAGTAGCAGTACTAACTGTGTAACTGAAATGGAGTTCTGTGTCGGATTGCCCTGTTTTCATATGGATCGTGCATCTGCAGATTTGGATGATTTCTCTGGAAAAAAGGGAAAAATAGACAAATATACAAGTACATGTACATCAGTATAAGAGAGTACCTGAAATTTGTTATCAGCTGATGTTTAAAGATCCATGTCTAAATGTGGTATTTTGTCTAGCAGAGCTGTTGCCAATGGACTTAATTAATATTGACATTTCAATGATTTTCAGTGTTTGTGTATGTGTGGGTGGAGGGGGGAGGAGGGGGGATGGGGGATTCTTGATGAACAGTACTTTATAGCTACATGTACTTTATAGCATGAAATGTTTTATTTTTCCTTCAGAGTAATGTATATCATATGAACATTATTTACCATTGTTATACTTTTAAAAATTGGTTCCTATATAAATCTTTACTAAAAATAGTCTAACATTTCAAATACTGGGAGGTCATAAAAAAAATCAACATTTGACCGCAGAGTGAGATACTGGACCTGCTGATGAGATATTGGACCGCTTACATCATACTGGAGGCGGGATCATCTAAATCTTATTTGCATTCATTGATGTTCGACAGTGCCAGAAATAAATAAATGAATAAATAATAAAATAAATAAATAAAAGGCATAACAAAACATTTATTGACTGGGTTGGAGGGCAAAATGCATTTTGTCGAGCCCTCTAACCAAACTGTTTGCCTTTGGCCTAATGGCCTCAGGCAAACAGTTTGGTTCTTGGGTACGACAAAACACATGTTGCCCTCCAACCCAGTCAATAAATGTATACTACTTATTGAATTTGTAATCAGTTATTTTACCTGTTGCATCCTCCTGTCAAGGAAGTTTCTTTCTTCTCGTAATAAATTATTTTTCTCATCTTCCTCTTCCTGCAACCTTAAAAAAAATATATTAAATGTATTTAACCTGTTGGTGATAAATGCCATTTCTTGACTTGTTCAATAATTTTAAATATCTCTCAAAATCTTCTTTTTCTAATCACACTGACCACATATATCATCTAATTAACTAGACCTCTAATAAAATGACACAAAAAACTCAGTATCTTTAGACATCTAACCTCATCAATATGTTGGATTATGTTTGCTAGATTTCTATCAGTGAAATATATCAATAAAACATGAAATTTGTTTTTCATTACTAGACCACAAATAAGTATTATTAAAGAGATGAGTAATTAATACAAGGCTAGCATAAACTACAATACCTCCTGGCCATTTCTCCATCCCTCTCTACTTGTGTTCTGTTTAGTTCCTGTCCCAGTCTTCTGGCGAAAAGTTCATCATCTTGTGTCTCTGATTGCCCACGATAATATTTTTTCTGTGCTCTTCTGAGTTCATCATCTTGTGTCTCTGATTGCCCACAATAATATTTTTTCTGTGCTCTTCTGAAATTTTTCTCTGTTCGATTGGGTATGTGATTGAATGTATCCAACTGTCTCTGTTTTGGTTGTGTTTCATCATCACTGCTATCTTGGTGATCATAATGTCTAGTGTCATTGTAAATATAGTTACCAGTATGTTCATAGTGATTATTCTGCTTATAACTATTCTTTGGCCATTTTCTACTTCGCCTTGATCCCTTCATACCCTGTGGATTACTCCGATATCCATTCACTTGATGAGGATTTGGTAATTCATCAAAATCTTTCACTTGAGGTGATGGCAATCCAGATTGGAACGTTCTTAACTTTGGTGATGAAACATCCTCATCGTAAGAAGATACTTCAGGGATAGAATCTTCCTCAACGTCATCACTGTAGAAAGTGAAGGTCGAACGGCCAGAGCTATCAATGTCCTCACTCTGAGGCTGGGCTAACACTGACCCCTTTTCTGTCACACTTTGATATGAAGTATCCATCATATTATCACTACTATCTTTGGGAAATGTCTCCTCCACGTTGGCACCAAAACCCTTTTGATTGTCCGAGTATGTCTTTAATTCATCAGTATCCATTGGACACATGTGTGGAGCATCACATTCGGTATCACTATCACTGTCAATAATTAGCACAGGGTGATCTCTATTACCATTTTCGATTCTATTTTTGTCCTTTCTTCTATCATTTTTTCGATGAATTGAGGGTGAAACTGAATTCATCTGGCCAAAATGGATTCTATCCTTTTTTTTTTCTTTTTCATATTCTTGATTTTGTAACTGCCATGCTAGAAAAGCATCAGGATCATTTCTCACACTGTCTGTTGGAAACTCTGATATACCTCGAATGATTTCAGATTCCAGACTTTGGTCATGAAGTTGTCTGGCATACCTCTCATCATAACCTGTAGCCATTGAGAAACTAATGGCTGTTAAAAAAAAGGGTTATAAATTACACTCAAGGAAATAAAAAAAAAAAGTACATGTACAAATCCCATTTAAACACACTACAGTTCTGTATCCTCATGAACAACATTTAAAATAGCTAAAAAAGAACTCAGGTGATAAACACCAAGGAATATGGGAAGTAATACAATATATTCTATCTCTATATTCATAAAAACATTTCATCATTCTTCATTTCTTGATCAGATATAATGACAGCTTCGTTATCAACAGGTCTAGACAACCTTCATTTTCAGAGGATAACCAAAATTCAATATGGTGGTCAAACTTTGCAATGCGTTTGTGGGAAAGCTTGGCCTCAGAGAATAACACAGGTAATTTTCAAACACCTTTTGCCTAACTTTAGTGGAAAAGTGCATACACCAGACTACATGTAAATAAATTAAAGATTAATATAACGATTGTATGTAATGATTTTATCTTACTCTAGATGTTTTCAATTTATTATCAAAGTTGGCACTTTTTGCGCATTTATAAATATAAATCGCATTAAAAAAAAAAAAGAAAAATGAAAAAAAAATTTTTTATATGCAATCCACTGCCCTATAAAATAAGTAGTTGAATAAAAATTAAAGAAAAGAAAAGAAGAATAGATAAATCAATGAATAAAAGAAATTATTTGTTTAAGGATTTTTTTAATGAATACATATCAGTAAATAGGTTACTTTCACATTTACATGTTACTCCCCTTTGCGGGGTCAATCTGGGGTTAACTGGTGTATGGCACTGTTTTCCCTCTATAACATTACCAACTTTATGGGGCAATGTCTTACAAATGAAATCGGTAAGAATATGTTCATTATGTTTTTTATGTTGCCCCAAACTATTGCAATACAGAAACAGAACAAAATTAACTGAAAAAGTGTTTGAAAGTTGAAAATATTTACAGGTAGGTTGCAAAGGATTTAGTGAGAAAGATGAGTGTTATTCCAACAACATATCGGGTAACTCTTGAAAATGTGAAATTTACCTATATATCATGTATTACTATATGTAAATCGTTGAAGATTTTTAGGTCACTTGAGTAACTTAGGTGTCCTACTTCTATCTGTTTTGTAACCTACTTCTGTTTTGTGACCTACTTCTATCTGTTTTTGACCTGTGTGTGTTCAAATGAATAGTTATAATGGGACTGTGGAAATATGGTGGACAGAGATAAATTCTCTTCCTTTTACTGGAAGGAATATTTGCTATTTATATTTCTACGAGCTTCTGTCTGGTGAGTTTAGTTTATAGCCTGTGTTTCCTTATTTTTGTAGTAGAGGGCCAGAGTATGCTCCTCTAATGAAGCAAGTCAAGTTAAGAAAAAAATTATTAAACTTTCATTTCAAGTAGTCTAATGTAATCTCTCTGTTAGTGTCAAGTAAATTACTGCTAACTACTGAGGGGGCAGGTGGTAAATTTAGTACTGCCGACTCCCAACTCTCTTGGATTAAAGTTTTTCCTTGATAATCTCCAAATCGCTTAACAGATTTGGTTCAAACTTTTCAGGCACATTAATTATGTTGAACTTAATTCACATAAATACATGTATAAAATATATTAACAAGAGGCCCAGGGGCCATATCGCTCACCTGAGCACTATGGCTAGGAAAAAGCAGAAATCGCTTCAATCTTGAAAGGTTGAAAAGTTTAAATATAAAAGTGGTTGGGGGGGGGGGGGGTTCAGGAATTGAACAAATTTGAATCTACATTATCTGAGGATGCTTCCATTTAAATATGACCAATCATGGCTTTGCTGTTCTTGAGTAGAAGATTTTTAAAGATTTAACCTATGTATTCCTATGTAAAACTTTGATCACCCATTGTGGCCCCACCCGACCCACAGGGGTCATGTTTGAACAAACTTGAATGTACACTATCTAAGAATGCTTCCATATAAATATGACCAATCATGGCTTTGCTATTCTTAACAAATAGTTTTTTTTAAAGATTTTTACTATGTGTTCCAATGTAAAACTTTGATGGCCCATTGTGGCCCCACCCGACCCCCGGGGGTCATGATTCGAACACATTTGTATGTACACTATCTGAGGATGCTACCATATAAATATGACCAATCATGGCTTTGCTATTCTTAACAAATTGTTTTTTTTTTTTAGAATTTTTACTATGTGTTCCTATGTAAAACTTTGATCGCCCATTGTGGCTCCACCCGACCCCCGGGGGTCATGAGTTGAACAAATTTGAATGTACACTATCTGAGGATGCTACCATATAAATATGACCAATCATGGCTTTGCTATTCTTAACAAATTGTTTTTTTTTTTTAGAATTTTTACTATGTGTTCCTATGTAAAACTTTGATGGCCCATTGTGGCTCCACCCGACCCCCGGGGGTCATGAGTTGAACAAACTTGAATCTACACTACCCGAGGATGCTACCATATAAATATGACCAATGATGGCTTTGTTGTTCTTGAGAAGAAGATTTTTAAAGATTTTTCCTATATATTCCTATGCAAAACTTTGATCGCCCATTGTGGCCCCACCCGACCCCCGGGGGTCATGATTTGAACAAATTTGAATCTACACTACCTGAGGATGCTTCCATGTAAATATAACCAATTATGGCTTTGCTGTTCTTGAGAAGAAGATTTTTAAAGATTTTTCCTATATATTCCTAAGTAAAACTTTGATCGCCCATTGTGGCCCCACCCTACCACCGGGGGTCATGATTTGAACAAACTTGAATCTACACTACCTGAGGATGCTTCCAAGTAAATATGACCAATCATGGCTTTGCTGTTCTTGAGAAGAAGATTTTTGAAGATTTTTCCTATATATTCCTATGTAAAACTTTGATCGCCCATTGTGGCCCCACCCAACCCCCGGGGGTCATGATTTGAACAAACTTGAATGTACACTATCTGAGGATGCTACCATATAAATATGACCAAGTATGGCTTTGCTGTTCTTGAGAAGAAGATTTTTAAAGATTTTTCCTGTATATTTCCTATGTAAAACTTTGATCGCCCATTGTGGCCCCACCCTACCCCCGGGGGTCATGATTTGAACAAACTTGAATCTACCCTACCTGAGGATGCTTCCACATAAGTTTCATGTTTTCAAGCACAGTGGTTCTTGAGAAGAAGATTTTTTAATGATGCCATTAATTTTTCACGAATTCTTAATTATCTCCCCTTGGAAGAGGGTGTGGCCCTTCATTTGAACAAACTTGAATCCCCTTTACCCAAGGATACTTTGTGGCAAGTTTGGTTGAAATTGGCCCAGTGGTTCTTGAGAAGAAGTTGAAAATGTGAAAAGTTTACAGACGGACAGACGGACTACAGACAAAATGTGATCAGAAAAGCTCACTTGAGCCTTCGGCTCAGGTGAGCTAAAAAAAAATATTACCAATTGTGGTATTTATGGACTAAATTGAGCAGTTTGATAAATCTGTATCCATTTTTGGTTTCTTCAATAACATTTACTATCATTCCAATAACAGCGTGTCACTGTGTTTGGTTGAGTGTGCTAGAGTTTCAAATGTTGATCATATTTCTGTTTTCGTTTTGTTTTCAATGAAATGAATACTACTTTGCATATGAAACAGAGAACCAAGTAATACATTGATAATACTGACCAATCGCATTAAAAGATTGTTTAAGAATACAGCATTTGTAATAAGCAGCAACACTTGGTCAGTCAAAGCCCATTGCTTGCTCCTCTGTTCAAATACAACTAGCAGCATTCTTTTGATTGAATTTTGCACACTTGACCAAACAAAGTGACACGCTGTTTCTGCAATGATAGTAATTAGTACTAGATTTTATTCATTCTGGACAGATGACATTAACATACATAACAGATTTATGTATGTGGGGATAAACTTCAATGTAGAAAATATGCCCAAGAAGTCTTTTTGTCGAATTGGAGAATACATGTATTAATAAAAAATCACAATCAGGAACAACTGAGAGTTGAAAAATGAAATTTCTTGATTTCTCGTATTATATGTAAAATTGTTGATATATTTATATCTAAATTCAATACAGAGAGTATGACGCAATTCTGTTCAGCGGTATGAAGAATATTATTAGAAAAACAAGAAAGTCGGGTGTTGGTAGTACTAGATTAACCAATTACCTATAATACTGAGAGTATTTTACAGAAAGGAGAGAATTTTGAAAATGACTCATCTTTTCAGAATAAGGAAAATTAATTTCATCGTCTTTCTCAAACTCTTTCAACATAAAATTATAAAGTCAAATAATTAGAATTACGAGAAAAAAACCAAATTGTTAAACTTCATCTATTTTGAATAAAACGAAAGTGGATTACGTATTTACGAATTCATTACAATTTACCTGTTCAACAATCCTAGAAAAAATGTAAATCAGTCCCCAAATGTGTTCACCATTTATATATCATGATTTGTAAACTTCTGGCTAAAGATGAAGAAAAAGTATTTGTGGTAAAAAAAAAAATGGAATTTCAAATGTCAAATTACATTCATCATTCTACGGATATCCGTGTCTGTCCTGCGCAGATCAACAAAGTCTACTTTCATTTTCAGTTCAAGTTGACTTCACTACGGTGTTTACGTGCAAATATTAGGATTCTCTGATTAAAACTGAATTATGAATATATTTTGAAATAATCTCTTAAAAAAATTCCCTCTCCTTGAACAGTTGAAAGCTAAAATACATATGTGATGAGTCATACACCTATCCTCACTCTTTTGATGCCTCCTCCCCTTCGGCAAGCGGTAAATCTAGTCTTCCCGACTCCCGACTGTCCCGGATTTCGGGTTTTTATTGATATCTTTATTATCGATGCACAGAATTTCTTTAAAATTTTCAGGCCCATTTTCTAGGTTGTTATTAATTCCCAAATGCATAAAAGTTTCGACAAAATTACGTTAAATATGTTGAATTAGCAATATTAGCAATGCAGTCAGCATACAGAAAACATCATTCTACAGAAACTACTTTGCTCAAAGTACATCATGACCATGATGACATTACGCAGGTATTAGATAGTGGGTCATTTGTTGTCCTTGTGCTCCTCGACCTGTCAGCTGCATTTGATATCATTGACCATCGTATCTTATTGGATAGGCTTAATGCAGCTTATGGAATACATGTAACAGGTGGAGCCTTACAGTGGATTCAATCTTACTTAGAAAATCGACGTCAATCTGTCTCAAATCCACCGAGCGAGTTCTTCCATTTGGCGTCCCTCAAGGGTCTGTTCTTGGACCTAAACTCTACTGTTTGTTTTCCAAACCTATTGAGGCCATCTGTCGACAACATGGAATGTACTACCACTGTTATGCAGACGACCCGCAAATATACCTCGTTAAAAGACCAGTAGAAGGGTGGAATAACTATTTAAAAGATTAGAAGCGTGTATAGCAGATATTAGTTCATGGATGGCTACGAACCTGTTGAAACTTAACCAGGACAAAACGGAGCATATAATCTTCTCTTCCAAACACAACGCAGCAAACATTCCACTACACCATCTTAAAGCTGGAGAAAATGACATTTCTTTTGCATCGCTCTTCAAGAACCTTGGTGTTTATTTCGATTCCCATCTGACATTTGAGTCATGTGTCATCTATTGTGAAGACATGTTACTTTCATATCAGTAATATTGGACGAATTCGTCATCTCTTAACAACGGATGCATGTAAGACTCTTGTAAATGCACTAGTTACATCAAGGCTCGATTATGCAAACTCTCTTCTGTTTGGAATCAACAGGACCACTTACTTGTCTCGAGGACATCAAAATGGAATCATATTTCTCCCGTCCTTGCGGAGCTGCACTGGCTTCCGGTCCAGTATCAACCACAATTTAAGATACTGGTCCTTCATATATCTGCAAGAACTTATTGAAGTTTATAAGCCAGCTCGATCACTAAGATCGGAAACATCAATAAAACTTGTAGTTCCAAAAGTTCGAACCAAGACTTTTGGAGAACGGACTTTTAGTTGGGCTGCCGCCAGTTTATGGAATGAACTTCCAACACGCATAAAAGTGGCATAAAGTGTAGATGTTTTTAAAAATTGCTAAAAACACACTTTTTAAAGAATGCCTTTCCTGGGTTTTAAACCCTATAAATTTAAATTTTTTTAAAATGTCTCAAGCGGAGGGGGGGGGGGGAGGGTGTGCCCCAATAAATTTGTCGATATATAGATTACTAGGCCTATAGAAAACATAGCTACTAGACTATATGCTTGTGCCCCCTCGATAAAAACGTCTGATGACGTATATATATATTTTTTTTGCTTGTCAAGGAATTTTTCAATGGTTGTTGATAGTGCCCCTCAACTGAAAATGTTTGTAAGGTATCTGCATCAGCCTTGTTTGTAATATAAGTGATCGCAAATACCCCCCCCCCTGGGGGGTGCATGATTTGTTCACACTTGAATCTACACTACTGAGGATGCTTCCATATTTCTTCGACTGATTTTTAGAAGATTTTTTCCATATGTTTGATCATCTATAGTGGTCCCGCTCTACCCCCGGGGAACATGATCTGAACAATCTTTAATCTACACTACCTGAGGACGCTCCTGAATTAAAATGACTAATCATGGATTTGCTATTCTCAGGAAGAAAAATCTTAGATATTTCCTATATATTTAAATCTAAAACTTTGATCGCCCATTGGGCCCCCACTCTACCGGGGGGGGGGGGGGGTCATGATTTGAAAAAAAAAATTATTCAACATTACCCGAGGAAGCTAACTAATCATGGTTTTGCTGTTTTTTTTAGAAGATTTTTTTCTATAAATTCTTATGTAAAAATTTTATTGCCCACTGTGGCCCCACCCTGCTCCCAGACTAGGGGTCATGATTTGAACAAATTTGAATCTACAATACCTGGCTGAAGATGGTTCAATATAAATATGACCAATCATGGCTTTGCTGTTCTTGAGAAGAACATTTTTAAACATTTATCATATGTATTCCTATGTAAAACTTAGATCACCCATTGTGGCCCTTCCCTATCCCCGGGGGTCATGATTTGAACAAACTGGAATCTACACTAACTGAGGATGCTTCCATATAAATATGACTTATCATGGGTTTCCTAGCTGTTCTTGAGAAGAAGATTTAAAAAAAATTTCCCATATATTCCTTAGGGCTGGGTATTGGCTAGAGATTTCGTATTGCGATATATTGCGATATTTTTAACTGTATTAAGATATGTATTGCAATATTTTCAACAAAAATTTAAATGGTATTTTCTTATTATATTAACTTCCTTTTATACATGTAGAATGTACATAACTATGATAAATAACCAAGGAAATATATCTTGTTCATAGAATTACAGTTATGCAACTAAATACACCAATACAAAAGCTTTTTTTTCTTACTGTTTGGCATGATTGCAAACCTTTCTGAGAACTTTTCTTTATATTTTATGATAGAATTCCTGAGTCCAAGCATTTTGCTGATATATCGGTATTACAAAAATAAATTGCAATACGATATTTTTTGTCAATATACCGCAATATACCGGAATATCAGTATTATTGCCCAGCCCTAGTATTTCTATGTTAAACTTTGATCGCCCATTAAAGCCCCTCCCTACCCCCCAGGGATCAGGAGTTGAACAAAATTAAATCTACGCTACCTAAGGATGCTTTTATGTAAATATTACCAATTATGCCTTTGCTGTTCTTGAAAAAAAGATTTTTAAAGATTTTTCCTGTCTTTATTTATGCAAAACTTTGATCGCCTATTGAGGCCCCACTCTACCTTTAGTCATGAATTGAACAAACTTGAATCTACACTATATCAGGAAGCTTTCACATAAGTTTCATCTTTTCGGGCTCAGTGGTTCTTGAGAAGAAGATTTTTAATCGACACCACCAAATTTTTACTTTTTCTGAATTATCTCCCCTTGGAAGATGGTATGGCCCATCATTTGAACAAACTTGAATCCCCTTTACCTAAGAGTACTCTGTGCCAAGTTTGGTTAAAATTGGTCCAGTGGTTCTGCAGAAGAGGATGAATTTATATTAAAAAAAAAAGTTTATGACAACGACGACAGACAACGGACAAATTTTGGTCAGAAACGCTAACTTGAGCCTTAAACCTTCACAAATTTATTAGACCATATTACTCATCGACTGGATGTTTGATTTCAATGAAATCAATACTACTCTGCTTTAAAAACTTGCTAGATTTTTTTGAATTTTTTTTTTAAATGAAGTTCACTGCTACACTTTGATCTCTTAGTATGGCCCAACCCTAAGTCCGGGGGTCATGATTTGAACAATTTAGAACCTATATTTCTTTAGGAAGCTTCCACATAAGTTTCGTCTTTTCAGGCCTAGTGGTTCTTGAGGAGAAGATTCTTAAAGATTTTTCTTATATATTTCAATGAAAAACTTTCATCCCCAATTGTGGCCCAACTCTTACCCCGGGGTCATGATTTCAACAATTTAGAATCTACACTTCCCACAGGAACCTTCCTTCTAAGTTTCACCTTTTCTGGCCCAGTGGTTCTTGAGAAGAAGATTTTTAAATGACCTCACCCTAGTTTTGCCTTTTCATGATTATCTCCCCTTGGAAGGACTTGGCCCTTTATTTGAACAGTTTAGAATTCCATAATTACCCTAGGATGCTTTGTCCCAACTTTGGTTAAAATTGGCCTTGGTTCTTGAGAAGAAGTCGAAAATGTGAAAAGTTTACAGATGGCAGATTGACAGCTAGACAGACGGACGAACGGACGGACGCCGGGTGATCAGAAAAGCTTACTTGAGCTTTTAGCTCAGGTGAGCTAATAAAAACATTTACAACTTGAAAACTAGTAAAGCAACACGTCTTCTAGTATATAGATGCATCATGCAAGTGAAAGCTGCATTATTTGATATATTATAGATGACATTCTCTATCTCTCGTTCAAGAAACTCTAGCATTTTGTTGTGTATGGAATCCGGATAATACGATGGCCGACAACGGCCGCCACTTTTGATAGAGAATATTGTCATTTCGTAAAGCGTTTTTGTCAATTTTCGTTGACAAATTACAACTAAACTGGTAATGTTATATCTACATGTACAATTAATAAACTGACAATTTCCACCGGAGAAAATCATTAAAATTCCTTCATGTGAGATGAAATGAAGATACTCGAAAGTGATAAGCTTAAGGTTCTAGCAGAATTGCAAAATCGAATTCTAGAGTAGTATTGTCTTCTAGATATACTTTCTCGACAGATTGTAGTAATTTAATTCATAGAATTCATTGTTGGTGTACGTGTTGGTCACATCATAGGTCACATCCAGGAGGAAATTTTTTGGGTGTATTAGAAATTAGATTTTTGTTAATAATCAGACGTGTCTTTGATGTATGAATTTTGATTTTTTTAAAATGCGCACAAGATAATTCATCATAGTAGTGACCTACCGGTATGTTTTCCTTTGCCGTGCCACATTGAAAAATAATTGGCCAACCAGGTGGAAGGCTGGAGGCTGCGTTGGCCTTTCAAAAGTGTTTCAAGCACTTGATTATTAATTTTATATATTTAGAGAGCAAATATAGTCCACATTTAGGTTCTCATTTTATTCCTGCTTTAAAGGTGTAGTGTTTTTG